ACAGGGTATACTAGTCCTAGCTGATTACAATGGAATCTTTATATATAGAAGTCCCTGTGTAATGACTCCGGAGGCTTTCAGTGCAAATTTAGGTCAGTGTCCCAGGAATGCGACCACCAGGCGACTAACACCCAGGTACCATTGTTAATGATGGGGAACATAGACAACAGGTGGAAAAGAAATACGCTCTCAATGTTTCTTCTCTGGGTGGGAATCGACCAGGCCTCGCCGTGTGTGAACTCGAGAGCGTGAAACACCGGCCAAGTAAACCAAGTCCTTACGATATAAGCCGCGGGAAGATAGACTAAGCAACACAGACCCATCTTATGCCTAGAAAACAGATTAACTCGGTGTCGACTCGAGTATGCTCATGATTATTCCTTCTAAGAAAAAGGAGGAGTAGATGTAAAATAGAGAGAGACAGAGCCCGCCTCCATTTACAGGCGACGGAAAAGAATACAGAGCGGCTAAAAAAGAGGCCATAATATCTGAAATGCCGTAGGGGAGGTCACTGATCAGAGATAAGAAAGAGCAAACATCGAACTTAAGCCTAAAGGAATCTTATAGGGTCGGGAATCGCGGGAAGAACTAAAAGCCAAATGAAATCGAAGAAACCCAAAAGTATTTCTTTTCCTATGCCAAATCAAATCGAGAACACCGTCCGTATTGGACCCTACTTAAACAAGATGGGTTACAAGAATCGAAGCTAAGTAACTGATGTGTGCTACTAAAGTCCAATATGACTCAGTTTTTTTCCAAGCCGCCTAACCAGATGGAGGTTCGAGATCAAATGAATTTTTTATGAAGAGACAGAATTGGTTAACACAAGCCTGTTCTGATGTTTTCTGACGCCAACAATGACTTCGAACAGGGATAAATGATCATGCCCATGCCACTCTGCCCAGGGGCAGACTCAATGGAAACTTCGTGATCATCAGAAACTGCAAGAGCCCCTATCTACGAGCTTTTACCAACCTATGGAGAGGCGAGATTGGACACGGGGTCGTCCCACAGTTACTAAAAACACAACAGAGCATAGCCCCATATCACAAAGGGGCCAGAGTAAAGCAACAGACAGGAACTACAGACCGATAGCACAGAACATCCATTATCATAAAAAATTTTGAAGGGTACTAAGAAGCAAGATCGTCCAGACCCATCTAGAAACCATCAGTTACTCAACCCAGGGCAACATGGGTTTAGAACAGGTCGTCAGTCCGTTCAACTATTGGATCACTACGAACAAGGCCCTGATGCACTAGAAGCGACAAATAAAGATGCAGATGTAAAAAGTTACAGACTTTGAAACAGCCTTCGGACAAAGTGTGACCATGGCAGTTAATAGCGACACACAAATGCGTGTGCTAAAGGTATAACAAGGAAAAGTTGTAGTTGGAGTCTACCATTTCCTCACAAACAGAAAACAAATGAGTAGTAGTCAACTGAGTAAAGTCGAGGCAGTACGGTGTGAAGCTCTTTTCCACAGGGCATCATACTCGCTCCCATCTCGTTTTCATCTCTATCTGAATATGACATGATGTCAGCCACCAGGCACCGTGCTCTTCCTTGCAGATGACACCCGACCGACTCGCATACAAGTGTACTTCCTCATTGCAGACACTGCAAGGCTCCAGGGGAATCAACCCAAAACTTTCTGTGGGCTGCAGAAAACATAATGAAGTGAAACGTGAGAAAGAAATTTCAATTACTCAGATATGGTAAACCGGAGGAAATTACAATCTTCATCGAGTACAAACAATTCTGCACCAAAATAGAGATGAAAACACCAATGTCAAAGACTGGGTGTGATCTCATGTCGGAGGATCTCACCTTCACGAACCCATAACACTTGTAATCTATCACAGCTGCTAGAAAAATAACAGGATGGATATAATGAGAACCTTCAAAACTTAGGGATGCCCAAGCACCATGATGAACTCTCTTATGAGTCACCTTGTTCTTTCTAGGCTTGGAATATTGTGCACACTAACAGCATCCTTTCTAAGGCAGGTAAATTTGCTGACCTAGAAAATGTACAGAGAAACCTTCAACGGCGCGCATAACGGAGTTTATAAACACCTAAATTATTGGGAGCGTTTGAGGTTCCTAAACCTGTATTCCCTGGAAACGTCAGGAGGGAGAGATACATGATCTATATACACCTGGAAAAATCCTAGAGGGATAGTACCGAAACATGCACACGATAATCACTCAAAACGAAAGCAAAAGACTTGGCAGGACGATGCACCATCCCCCCAATGAAAAAGAAGGGGTTGTCACTGTAGCGTTAAGAGACCATACAATAAGTGTCCAGGGGCGCCCGACTGACTGTTCAAACTGCCTCCAGCACACATAAGGGGGATTACACAGGACCTGGCAAGTCTTCAGCTGGCACTGGACAAGCACTAAAGGTCCAGTTCATGATCAGCCGAGGCTGTGGCTCGTACGTTGGTTTGGCGTGTCAGCCCAGCAAGTAACAGCCTGGTTGATCAGCGGGGGATCTGATCCACCAGGGGCTGGGTCACAGCCGGGCCGGCGGGGGCGTTGACCCCCGGAACTCTCTCAAGTAAACTCCAGGTAAAGAACAGTTTATACCGCGGTTTCGAAAATTTGTCAGCTAGAGATCTGTCCGAGGTTTTGATTTACTGGAGTTTTCCTGGAGAGAGTTCGGGGGTCAAAGCCCCCGCGGCATCCGGTTCTGTGACCAGCCCTCTGGATGGATCAGGTAGCCTGATCAACCGAGGCTGTTACGCTGGTGCACCGCAACGAACGTACGAGCCACAGCGGCTGGTCGGAATCGACTTTGGTGTTGATTTCGGAGAATGCCACAAATTTTGATAGCAGGTGAGCAGCTCACTTGAATAAAATTTACATATAGTAACGATGTTCATCTCTGTTAACCAGCGAAGTGGGCTATCATGGAAATTTTTTATACTACTAGAGCCCCTTGGCAGGGGGGGCTGTACGAAAGACTGATAGGCACAGTGAAGAGGTGTCTCCGTAAAGTACTACACCGGAAGAGAATTAATTTGGAAGAATTCCATGCAGTGTTAGTGGAGGCAGAAAATCGTATAAATAATAGGCCTCTCTCGTACATGAGTGATACGTTGTTAACATACACAAGAAACAGCACTGGTCTAAGTACTGATCCTTGTGGAACCCCACTCGTCGCACTAACCCACCCCGACACCTTCTCCCGGGGAATAACTCATTGTTTCCTTCTCGTTAAGTATCCCTTGATATCTATAGTGCTTATCATGTTATTCCTGCCTGATCCTCTAGCTTTTTGTGCCAGTCCCTTATGAGGTACAGTATCGAACGCCTTCTTACATTCCAAAAAATGTACAGTCCATCTCTCCCTCTCTCTCTTTTCTCGCTTACTTTCGTTACCACGTCACAGAACTCTAGCAGATTTTGTGAGACAGCATTTACCATCTCTGAAACGAATCTGTATAATGACTCATATAATGACTCCAGCAACATGCTCGTTGGAGAAGCCAGGTATAGATACTCAAAAATTAGGGACAAAGGAATTAATGTACAATTGCTATGGATCCCATCACACATTGTATTACTCCTTCATGATAAAGTTGATATGTTAGCCAAGAAGAGTACCCAGAAGGAGAATGTAGAATATAACTTTGGTATAACTGTGTCTAGCATTAGGAATAATATTAGGAGAGAAGTAAATAATGAAAATGATTGTTATAGGAATGCAGTTAGAAGCCTGAGTAGATCTATAACCCACTATGATAACATGAACGTACATAAGTATGTTTATGGAGCAACGTGCAATGTGAACACTGACTGATGTTGTAGTGGCCAGGCCTAGGCTTGGTTACAAGTACTGACTGATGTTGTAGTGGCCAGGCTTAGGCTTGGTTACAAGTACTGACTGATGTTGTAGTGGCCAGGCTTAGGCTTGGTAACAAGTACTGACTGATGTTGTAGTGGCCAGGCTTAGGCTTGGTTACAAGTACTGACTGATGTTGTAGTGGCCAGGCTTAGGCTTGGTTACAAGTACTGACTGATGTTGTAGTGGCCAGGCTTAGGCTTGGTTACAAGTACTTCTGGCAGTTTGGGAGACACACAGATGATCAAACTAAATGTAAATTATGTGATCAGGCATATGGTCACTGTCTTGAACACCATGTGCTTAATTGTCCATTTATTGAGGAATACAGAGACAGTATAATAACCTATGTGACATGTCAAGATATCTTATTAATGAAAATAAGATACCAGATATACTAAGCAAATTTCCTAAATTTGCTTGTAACAGATAAGTGAACTATAGATATGTAGATATAAATCCATATGTATTCTTGTTAACCCTTTGGGGCCTAGTTCCTAGGCCTTTTGTGTATCCATATGCTCTCGCGCTACCGTCCACAGGATGGATATGGGGTGCACAATAAACTAGCCACTTCGGTGGCAAAATCTAATCTAATCTATCACCACTCTTTTGGCTCTGCCGGGATTTAGACAAGGGGGTCAACCTGGCCTATCTGAGAACCTATTATCCCCGTTTCTCTCTCTCTCTCTCTCTCTCTCTCTCTCTCTCTCTCTCTCTCTCTCTCCCTCTGCCGGGATTTAGACAAGGGAGTCAACCTGACCTATCTGAGAACCTATTATCCCCGTTCTCTCTCTCTCCTCTCTCTCTCTCTCTCTCTCCTCTCTCTCTCTCTCTCCTCTCTCTCTCTCTCTCTCTCTCTCTCTCTCTCTCTCTCTCTCTCTCTCTCTCTCTCTCTCTCTCCCTCTCCCTCTGCCGGGATTTAGACAAGGGAGTCAACCTGACCTCTCTGAGAACCTATTATACCCGTCTCACCCTCTCGCTACCTGGATTTAGACAAGGAAGTCAACCTGACTTATTTAAGAATTATTACCCCTTTCCCTCTCTCTCTCTCTGAGGGTAATTATCTCTCATAATCGCCGCCCAGATTTGGTCCAAAATTTCCCCGGACTTTCGGGAAGAAGGGTTCATTAAGACGCAAGTTTTAGCGACCCTTAACAACCCCAACAACAACAAGAAGAAAATTGGCATCAGGGGAAGAAAAACCGTAGAAGAGGAAACTAAGAGGCAGAAAAGGGAATTGAGAAGAGGAAAAGGGTGTTCCGGACCACATCTCTTGCTGACATCTTAGAGAAGAGGAGGAAAAGGTCCTCCAGACGCCATATATACGACAGAGTTGTTATCCTGGGATGTATAGGGCGCGTGTGAGTTTCTCTACTGATTTAGGGCTCTTGATCCGAGGAATTAGACCTATCCTTCCCTTCTTATCTAACCCTATTGCCTCCCATTCCCCCAGGTGCTATATGACTCCCTGTAAGTTTAGCGCTCCCCGTGTATGTTAAAATATATAAGCCTTTATTTAGGGGCTCTTGATCCAATGCCCCTTGAGGTTGCTTGATGCTGGTGAAGGGCTCTTGATCCAAGGGATTGGATCAAGAGCCCAGGATCAGAACCCAGGTTGGATCCTTTCCCAAGGATCAAACTAGTAATATGACCGCTTCTTACTGATAATATTCACTTGGTAAATCCTCGAGGGATTACTACCAAATTTGCACACGAAAATCACCCCTATGAAAGCAAAAGACTCAGCAGGAGATGCAACATTTCCCCGATGAAAAGCCACGAGTACACAGAGAATACAATAAGTGTCAGGGGCCCAAGACTGTTCAGTTGCCTCCCAGCATACATAAGGGGGATTACCAATAGACTCCTGGCTGTCTTCAAGACCCTTGGCTGTTTTTAAGACAAGACCCCTGTGTTGGTTTATGTGCAGCCAACAGTAACAGTTTGATTGATCAGGCCATGATCCACCACGAGGCCTGGCCATGGACCTCTGGTATAACAGACTGATTTAACTGATCATGATACAACAAATCTTGATATAACTGACTGATATAACCCCCTCAAGGAAGGTTCCTTGATGCTGGTGAGGGGCTCTTGATCTAGGGAATTGGATCTGTGCCCCAGTTCCCTGAATTGATCCTGAATACCTTCCCCCCCCCCCATACGTGTGCTGTATAATCATACGTGTTTAGCTCCCCCTCCCCCATGATTATAATAATTATATAATAACTGATATAACAGACCTTGATATAACACACCCTGATATAACAGACCTTGGTATAATAATCTGATATAACAGACTTAAAATTATAGGCAAAATCCTCTGGTTAAATTGTATTTTTAACTTGTTAATTTATCCTGTTTATTGCAGTATATGTTTAGCACTTCTTATTTTATAATAATAATAATAATATTGTAGTATATCTATTAAATTATAAATCTATAGGGGAAGGAAGGCGGGGTAGGGGTCGTCCTCGAAAGGGTTGGAGAGAGGGGGTAAAGGAGGTTTTGTGGGTAAGGGGCTTGGACTTCCAGCAAGCGTGCGTGAGCGTGTTAGATAGGAGTGAATGGAGACGAATGGTACTTGGGACCTGACGATCTGTTGGAGTGTGAGCAGGGTAATATTTAGTGAAGGGATTCAGGGAAACCGGTTATTTTCATATAGTCGGACTTGAGTCCTGGAAATGGGAAGTACAATGCCTGCACTTTAAAGGAGGGGTTTGGGATATTGGCAGTTTGGAGGGATATGTTGTGTATCTTTATATGTGTATGCTTCTAGACTGTTGTATTCTGAGCACCTCTGCAAAAACAGTGATAATGTGCGAGTGTGGTGAAAGTGTTGAATGATGATGAAAGTATTTTCTTTTTGGGGATTTTCTTTCTTTTTTGGGTCACCCTGCCTCGGTGGGAGACGGCCGACTTGTTGAAAAAAAAAAAAAAAAAATCTATTAAATTATATGTACAGTACTATGTTAGATATACAGTATAGGACTTTAGTGCATTTTATTGCTATGTTTTTAACATTATTCAGGTAACATTTATGAAGGGGTTCAGGGAAACCTGGAGGCCGGACTTGAGTCCTGGAGATGGGAAGTACAGTGCCTGCACTCTGAAGGAGGGGTGTTAATGTTGCAGTTTAAAAACTGTAGTGTAAAGCACCCTTCTGGCAAGACAGTGATGGAGTGAATGATGATGACAGTGTTTCTTCTTTTCTGAGTCACTCTGCTTTGGTGGGAAACGGCTGATGTGTTAAAAAAAAACAGACAACCCCTTATTAGTTCATTAATTAATATGTTTACTGTATATATGTGTGCACTCACCTATTTGTGATTGCAGGGGTCGAGTCACAGCTGCTGGTCAATTGATTATGTTTATTGCCTAGCTTATCTCTCTTATGGTTTGTTAATTATACATATATAAATATATATATATATATATATATATATATATATATGTCGTGCCGAATATGTAAAACCGATCAATTAGCAAGAACTCATTTAAAATTAACTCCTTTCTAAAATTTTCTCTTATACGTTTAAAGATATATTTTTTTCATTAATGTTGATGTAAAAATTTATAATTTTGCACCAAAAGGAACTTAGAAAACTTACCTAACCTTATTATAACAAGCGCAATTTATTTTAGCCTAACTCAACTAAATATATTTTAGATTTGTTTACAGTAATTTAGTACTACACAAACACAGTGAAATATATTTTTTTCGTTAGGTTCAGAATGATTTTGGCGAAATTATTGCATACACAAATTTTCACTTGTCCTATATGGCAAAATGAGCGTTGCTATTTAAGCCAAGATCGCAAGTTCTGCCTATTCGGCACGACATTATATTATATATATATATATATATATATATATATATATATATATATATATATATATATATATATATATATATATATATATCTTTCTTTCTTCTTTCAACACACCGGCCATATCCCACCGAGGCAGGGTGGCCCAAAAGGAAAAACGAAAGTTTCTCCTTTTACATTTAGTAATATATACAGGAGAAGAGGTTACTAGCCCCTTGCTCCCGGCATTTTAGTCGCCTCTTACAACACGCATGGCTTACGGAGGAAGAATTCTGTTCCACTTCCCCATGGAGATAAGAGGAAATAAACAAGAATAAGAACTAGAAAGAAAATAGAAGAAAACCCAGAGGGGTGTGTATATATGTGCTTGTACATGTATGTGTAGTGTGACCTAAGTGTAAGTAGAAGTAGCAAGACGTACCTGAAATCTTGCATGTTCATGAGACAGAAAAAAGGACACCAGCAATCCTACCATCATGTAAAACAATTACAGGCTTTCGTTTTACACTCACTTGGCAGGACGGTAGTACCTCCCTGGGCGGTTGCTGTCTACCAACCTACTACCTATAATATATATATATATATATATATATATATATATATATACAGGTCTCCCTCAACATTCGCGAGGGTTAGGGGATCAAGAGCCTCGCGAATGTTGAAAAACCGTGAATGTTTGGTGCCCCAATATATTGTAGGGAAATATAATACAATACTGCTTCCTTAACTTGTTGAACCATGAACAATCATAAAATACATGAAAACGTCGTAAATTGTACTAAATATGTACATGTTATGTTTTACTAACATGTATGTTATTAAATACCACAGACTCCTCCACTGCCTCCATCAATGCCTCCACCACTTCCTCAACCACTGCGAGTCCCTACTACCCTCCCTCCGACCCCTGCAACTGGCAGCCAGCCCTCCCACCACTCAGTGTGGTGAGTGTTTTGTTTGTTCATTATTTGCTATTAAACTACAGTATAAATAATGTAAACCCATTCATGACTGCATATTGGAATGGCTATTCAGAAAGGTATTGGACGGTGACATCATGTGTTTACTCTTGAACACAGCAAAGAATCAAACATTTCTGCTTCTGCTAATAATAACAATAGTAGTAGTAGTAATAATAATAATAATAATAATAATACGATATAATTGAAGAAGGAAATTGTACAAAAATACGAGGGAGTGGTTGACACATCGTCAGTGTGGCTTTGTTTATGCTGGAGTGAACATTAGTCTCCCTGCTCTTCCAAACATTTCACAATAATTCAGCAGTTGAGGCAGTGGTATTTAATAACATATATGTTATAAATAATAATAGTACATATTATTAATAATATGTATTATTATTATTAATAACATGTATGTTATTAAATACCACTGCCTCAACAGCTGCCTCAGCCACTGCCTCAATCGCTGCCTCAACAACTGCCTCACCCACTGCCTCAATTGCTGCCTCAACAGCTGCCTCAACCACTGCCTCAATCGCTGCCTCACCCACTGCCTTAATCGCTGCCTTAACAGCTGCCTCAACCACTGCCTCAATCGCTGCCTCAACAGCTGCCTCAACCACTGCCTCAATCGCTGCCTCAACAGCTGCCTCAACCACTGCCTCAATCGCTGCCTCAACAGCTGCCTCACCCACTGCCTCAATCGCTGCTTCAACAGCTGCCTCAACCGCTGCCTCAACAGCTACCTCACCCACTACCTCAATCGCTGCCTCAACAGCTGCCTCAACCACTGCCTCAATCGCTGCCTCAACAGCAGCCTCATCCACTGCCTCAATCGCTGCCTCAACCACTGCCTCTACCACTCCAGTCACACTCAATCTACAAGCACCAAACGCAATGAATTATTGTGAAATGTTTGGAAGAGCAGGGAGACTAATGTTCACTCCAGCATAAACAAAGTCACACTGACGATGTGTCAACCACTCCCTCGTATTTTTGTACAACTTTCTTCTTCAATTATATCGTATTTATTATTATTATTATTATTATTATTATTATTATTTTTATTATTATTATTATTATTACTATTGTTATTATTTGCAGTAGCAGAAATGTTTGATTCTTTGCTGTGTTCAAGAGTAAACACATGATGTCAACGTCTAATACCTGTCCGAATAGCCATTCCAATATGCAGTCAAGAATGGGTTTACATTATTTATACTGTAGTTTAATAGCAAATAATGAACAAACAAAACACTCACCACACTGAGTGGTGGGAGGGCTGGCTGCCAGTTGCGGGGGTCGGAGGGAGGGTAGTAGGGACTCGCAGGTGGCGGGAAACTTGAATATGATTTGGCGGCTGGGAATTTGGTGGCTGGGAATTTGGCGGTTGGGAATTCACGAATGTGTGAAGCCCACGAAAGCTGAAAACGTGAATGTTGAGGGAGACCTGTATATATAATTATACACTATACAGTGGACCCCCGGTTAACGAACTTTTTTCATTCCAGAAGTATGTTCAGGTGCCAGTACTGACCGAATTTTTTCCCATAAGGAATATTGTGAAGT